AGATACGCCCAGAGTCATGGAACGCATTAAGTTCGTATCCCGAGGTACCACTGTAACTTCAACTTCAGCAAGTAAGTTTTAGGGTTTGAATGGAAGCCCACTAAGAAATCCTAATATAGGTTAGTCTGGGGATTCAGGGAGAAAAATATACCTGAAGATGAAAACAGCTAATCACTTCATATTCTAGTTAGAACTACCCAGACTTGTCTGGGAAACCATCAAGAGTTGATCTCAGTTTGAAGGAGACTTGACTTTACCAGTTTTTCCCAATCTGGAATTTCCAGATGTGTTGAGATTGCAGCTCCTGAGTTCTGAAAGTTGTAATTTCAACACAGCTGGAGGATCTTGGGTTAGCAAAGGCCGTACCACATGATTAAGTTGTTGACTGCACACAGAGAAAATTTATCCAAATATTAACAGTTTCATACAAATTCTATAGCTAGCTAGCTGGCTAAAAATGTTGCTGGTACAGAAAGAGCATTCATTTATTTCCATTTCTTTATAGAGGCTCTTGAGTTGACAAAATGTAATAGAAAAAGCAGAGCGATAACATGGCAATTTTCGGTCAGTAAAAATAGAATAGTACTATGTTATGAACAGAATTAATTTTGATAAAAGCAAAAAAAAATTTAGAAATTTCTGGTGCAAGATTCTGAAAATCACTACTTAGTACTACAGCTGAAGCATGAGTTTTTTATGGAAGATATACTTGAGAAGGATTGTTAGAGCCACGCAGACTGGTTATGGGTTTGAAATGACTTATTTCTAAAAGAGAAAAATTATTATTTATTTATTTTATTTAAAACATTTATATCCCATCTTATATCGAACTCTGGGCAGCTCCCAACCAACAGTTAAAACAGTATCATTGTACCATTAGTACATACATATATCCATTAAAACCACAAATAAATTAAAAAAAAACAAAAAAAACCCCAAGCCTGGCACCATAATACACTTTAACAAACAGTCCACCATAAAAACTCTTATCAGTCTCTCCCTATCCTAGCACTTGGGGGAAAAGCCAGGTCTTAAGTGCTTTTTGGAAGGCTAGGGGGATGGGAGCCTGCCGAACTTCAGGGAAGGGTGTTCCATAGAGTAGGGATGTCACAGAAAAGGCACATTTCCTAGATCCGATAAGATGGCAATGTTTAAGGGAAGGGATAAGTGTGCCCACCCTATCTGATCTGGTAGGATGGGAAGATGCCCTTAGAGAGAGGCGGTCCTGCAGATAACCTGGCCCTGTGCTTTAAAGGTAATAACCAGCATCTTGAATTGCACCCAGAAGGAAACTGGGAGCTGGTGCAGCTCATGCAACAGAGGTGTTACATGGGTAAGCCTAGGGGCACCCATCACTGCGCATGCCGCTGCATTCTGAATCAGTTGTAGCTTCTGGGTGGTCTTCAGGAAAGCCCCATGTAGAGTGTGTTGCAGTAATCCAAACGGGAAGTGATCAAGGCATGAGTTGACCATGAGCAAGGCCTCCTGGTCCAGGAAGGGGTATAATTGCCGAACCAGACAAAACTGTGCAAAGGCCCCCTAGCCATGGCTGCTAGCGGCTCTTTGAGCAATTTAGGAGGACCTCCAAATTGCACAACAACTCAGTCTGGGAGAGTGCCACCCCATCCAGAGTCAAAGATGAAATATCACCTGGGGGCCAAAAACCCAGAGTCACTCCATCTTGCCAGGGTTGAGCCAAAGCTGGTTCCTCCCCATCCAGACCCTTACAGCCTCCAGGCACTCGGCCAGCACTACCACAGCATAATCTATCTGGCTAGGGGTGGAGATATATAACTGGGTATCATCAGTGTATCAGTGATGCCGCACCCCATACCAACAGATGACCTCCTGCAGCGGTTTCATGTCGTTGTTAAAAAGAAGAGGCAAAAGGCTCAACTCCTGAAGCACCCCACACTGCAGGGCCCTGGGGCTCGACTTCTCCTCCCCCACCTATGCTGACTGGAACCAGCCATGGAGGAAGGAGGAAAACCACCGTAATGCAGTGCCTCCCACTCCCAAAGCCAGTCCAGGAGGTTACCATGTTCGATGGTATTGAAAGCTGCTGAGAGGTCCAGGAGGGCCAGAATGCTTGCACTATCCCCATCCCTAGCCCTCCAAAGATCAAGTGTGGCCAATGCCATTTCAGTGCTGTGCCCTAGCCTGAACCAAAACTGAAAAGGATCCAGATAATCCGCTTCATCCAGGGCCCTCTGTAGCTGTGCGCCAACCACCATCTTAACAACCTTCCCTGAAAAGGGAATGGATTAAAGTTGTCTGACACTGTGGGGTCCAAGGATGGCCTTTGAGAAGGGGCGCACCACCACCACCTTCAAGGCAGGCAGTACCACCTCCTCCTGCAAAGAGGCATTAATCTTCACCTTAGGCCTAGTTTTTGAAAACCAAATGGTATTGGACAATTATTTATGTTTATTCTACACTGAAATGCATAAGGTGATTTGCTGTTCTAAAGAATTCTGAAACCCATGTGTGACAAAGTAGGTGATTGTTATATGAAGTAAAAACAATATTTTTAAAAAATTAGTAAAATACAGAAGAAAAATAGCACAAGCACAAATCACCTAACTTTCTGCTAGCTGTATCAGTCGAAGGCTACAAGTAGCCAGCGTTGAACACGTAGACTTTTGGAGAGGGGAGCTTCCATCCTGTCAACACACTGATCTTATAGCAGTGGGATACAATATAGAATCTGCCACCAAGAGATAATGATAGTGGAAGATTTTGTTCTTCTTCCTAACATATTATTATTAGGTATAGGTAAGATAGAAATGCAATGTTTAAAAGCTGTTGAGTATTAAGAATAGCACTACATTCCTTACATTTGTTGTATCTATCTATTATATAGAGCGGGTAAAGATGGAAGAAAGCTTCAGACATTGCATTGGTGGTCTCTTGCAAAGGCATTGAGTCTGCAGATTTAATGGCATTTCATGTAATTCAGCCTAATGCCACCAGCAGATTCTTTATAGCACTGCCCTACATTGTGTAAAGCAGGTGTGAGTGTACATGTTGTTGCTCTAGGTACCTTGAGCCCACTTTTAGTTATGCAGGTATAATTTTTCAGAGTAAGGATCATGACTTCTCTGAAAACCCAATATCTAAGACTTTGCTTGGTGGAAATTAATCCCTACTGGTATGTTCAATTTAGGATTGATGAAAGGATTCAATTAACCTTTATTTCCCTGCAACAGAATGTATTTGTACAACTTTCATTGGCGTTCAGAAATGATAGCTATACTTTGGAATCAAGAATTAACCAGGCTGAAAGGGAGAGAAATCTTGCTGAAGAAAATACAGAGAAGGAATTAGACAACTTTAAAGGAGCAGTTACGGTAAGACAAAACATGCTGGGAACCTTTATTGTGATCTCTGTTCTGTATTTTTCATATTTTGGTAGGTTATTTATCTGTTAGATTTCTGTTCTGCCTTTTTTATATATAGAAGCTCAAGGCAAGGTACATAGAATTCCTTCCTCCTATTTTTTCCCACAAATAACAACACTGTGAAGTGGGTTGGGCTGAGAAAGTGACTGTGCCAAAGTCACCCAAGGAACTGCCATGATGATTGACGGACTAATAGGTCCAACACCATCACCACTACACCATACTGGCTCTCTAAAACTCTTTTTATGACTACTGCCAAAAAGTCTCAAAAGAAATTTTTATCATATGGTAAAATATATAAAATACTAGGCTTACTATTCATACATCAAAAATTTAACCTAAATAAAATATTTTTTAAAATAGAATTGAACTCTACAAAGTTATTGCAGTAGAGGCTTGCAAGACAGCTTGCTTTATAGACATCTCAAGTTCCTAGAGCTTTAATTTCCTCTGCCTGTTTCATTCTTTACACTTTGCAGTTAATGGACATTTAATGGGAAAACAGCTGCAAAGTTCCCTAATCTTTTTAGCAAAAGGTTTGGCATCATATATGCAAACTTGGTTTCCACATTAATTCATAATCATGCACTGTTTCTTGAAGTTTCCTTTCTAAATATGGGGAAAGAATAATTGTTGTCCTTCAGTACACAAAGGCTGAAGGACACCATCTATTGCATACCTGACGGAGCAGCTTGTAGAGGTGTGGAATGAGCACATCACACCCCTAACAAATGTACAATGTGAACACATCCAAATGTGAAGGATAAAAGTTTTCATAAGATTCTATTTTTTTTCCTCTACTGTTTTTTCCTCAGGGAAGGGGAAGTCTTCCACAATCTATTTAATTGTTTTCATTTGCTAGTTATTGGATAGGCTGAAAGTGTAATAAATGAATAAAAAAAAATCCTACATACAGAATTTGCTACCTTGTAGCGATATGATAAATGTTTTGAACTCACAACTTTTTGAGCTTAAACTACTCCATCTTGAGCTTGAAACAGTAGCTTCAAATTTTTTCAGAATTTTTCAGAGTTTTCAAGCTCAAACACCTGTTTTGAGGTCAAAACAGTTCAACAATGGTCAGGACAACCCGTTTCAAATTCAGAACAGTAGTAAACTTGAATATTTAAGATTTATGAACACCTTTACTTCCATCATTATCCCTACAATTTGTGTAAGGTCAGAAATGGCCTTCAGTGAAAAAAAAGTACATGGGGGAATGGACAGTCTGTCTGTCCATCCATCTCAGTTGCTTTGGATCACGATTTCTTGTACTCCAGCCTCCGTCTGATAAAAGTAGTATCCATTTTTTTAGAAAGTTGATTGTACTGGCAGTAGTACTAACTGACATAACATTCTAAAAGTTACCATGGTTTCTGGCTAACAGTTTCCACTTGACTTTTTAAGAAATATTCTATTATGGAAGTGTGACACAATGAAGCTATTTTCTAAATTTTAGATCCATATCTTTGACTCTGTTCATTTTCTTATCTCTAAAGAAAAGAGCCTGAGAATTCAATTATTTGGAGTTAACAACTACTAATAAGGAAGAGCATTGCTAAATTCAGCAAAGCATGTATTTGCCTGACTGGAGTCAGGCAGTCTATACATTTTCTGACCTTTCTGATTATCAAGCTTTTGCTAAACTAGAATATAAGAACATTTTAAAATCTAAAATTTAATCATGAAGATCGGTAGTACTTTCAGATACAGTGGGGCAAAAAAGTATTTAGTCAGCCACCAATTGTGCACGTTCTCCCACTTA